GATTAATGGGGCGGGGGGACACGGGGAGAGCGGATAAATCCAGCCTGTGATGCCTATAAATGGCGTTTCTCTTCCAAGGTGCACATTTTTTCAAAAAAAAGAAGAAGAAGGGGGGAAAAAAACCCGGTCCGTGTCATCCCCCCGCGTCAGGGCCGGTGGTGGGCGTGAGGCTGTACTTCCTCCGCCCCCTCCTAATGGAGCGAACCATTCCCAGCTAGTCCTCCTCGCCCTCTCCCTCTGCCTCCCTCTTTCTCTCCTTCTCCTCTTGTCTCCCCCCCTTGTCTGCAAAGTCCTCCGCTGCTCGGAACTTGTTGGCAATGCCTATTTTTCAGCTTTCCCCCACGTTCTCCAAAGTAACTATTTAAAGATCTGCAGCCGCAAATGGTTTTACTAAATGTAGGATGGGACTTAAGTTGAACGGCAGATATATTTCTCTGATCCTTGCTGTACAGATAGGTAAGTGGACTGCCAAATTCGGTATCAAGTTGTGCGCACCAAAGCCCGGCTGATGCATGCAGAAGCGGAATGTCGGAGTAACCTGCGCTGACGGCCGCGGTTCGGGGCGGCGGAGGGACCCCCGCTCCCCGCTCCCTCTGCCTCCCTCCCGCCGGCATCCTCGCGGTTCTGCAGGCTCTCAAGGCAGGCGTTCCGCAGGAAAGGGAGCCGATTTCTTATTCCTCTTAAATCACTTTTGTTGTTCGTTTTCCTAAATCAGTGCATGCTCATTCATACTCTGCTTTTTTCCTCCCCCCTCTTATTCTTCCTCCTTCTTGGGGACTCCAGTGCTAAGAAATCCCCTCTCTCCCCGAGGGACAGAGAAATAAGAACCGGCACAAAATGGCTTGCGAGAGATCTAGCTGGAAAGTTTTTTTGCAGAAAATCAGGGGGACAAGCGAAAGGCTCCCTTTGGGAACTTGGAGGCTTTCCCATTTGCAGAGCAGCCTACAAACAAACAAAACCAACGCTAACTTTAAAAAAAAAAAAATCTACCCGAATGCGGGGATTAGACAAATAAAAATTATTAAGAAATCACGAAGTCCCACCGCCCGGTCGTTAATTTTGTGCTCGGAGAACCGCTGTGAAAAAACGAGCGGGTCCAAAAAATTTCTATATATGTTAAGTTGCTTAAAATAGAACAGGTTTCCCTCCACTCCAATATGTGTTTTTGTGTGCTCGTTGCTGGTTTTGTTTCATATCTTGGGTTTTTCGCTGGTTCTTTTTGTTGGTTTGCTCTCAGGTTCATTTTATTCAACATTTCTTTGCTGAAAATTTTTCGAGTTACAAAGGTTAAGCAGTCTCCAAGTTAATGACCACTTTGGTTCTGTACAGGTATATTTTAAAATTATATACTGAATAAGTATATTCCCGAGCATGATCCAAAACTGGGCTTCAAGGAAAGGGCGATTAAAGCGCATCTTTTATTATCCAGATTATCAGGTGTGAAGAGACCTTTGAAAATATTTGCCTGCAAAGGAATTCTGCTACGATAGAAAAAATGCTCAGCATTGCTATTTAAAGATCCTTTTGCTCGGTCACCCTCCTCTCCAGACAATCTCTGCAGCATTTTGTGGGGACCAAAAGAAAGAAGAGGGGGGGGGAAAAAAAAAAAAAAAAAAAAGGAGGGAGAACAAGAAAGGGAGGAAAGAAGGAGGCGAAATGCCTTGAACAGTTTCCTCATCGCGAAAAGAAAAAAATAAGAAATATTGCGATGAAATGTTGACCTCTGGAAAATGTGGATATACGATGCAAACCCCTCCGTTCATATTACCATTCCATTTTAAATGAGGCTGAACTCTTCAGAAGGCCATTTTCTGTACTGTCAGAGAAAGAAGGGGGAAGGCGTTATTTGGATGCTATCCTTAATTTCAGTCCTTGCATTTTTTTTGTTTGTTTGTTCGTTTGGAGGAGGAGGATTTTTCTCTCATTCGTGTTTATTTGAATCACCCGAGGGAGGATTTTATTCACGGTGAAATTTCGAAAGGTGGCTAGAGTCGCTGGGACCCGCCGTCCCCGGGCTGGCGTGAGCATGAGCAGTCAGTTGGAAAGTTACCCCCAAATATCGCCGCGCACCGCGGCGGTGGTGGCGGTGCGGTGGCTTTGCGGTGCCCTGGGAGAGGACGGCTTTGAAGCTCCTCTCTGCTCCTCCTTCGGT